CCCCCCGGCTCTACCTGCATCTCCTCCATCCAGTCGATCATGTAGACCATCTCCTGGAATATCTTCTGCAGGGCCAAGTTCTGCTCGAGGCGGGCACGGCGGGCGCGGACCAGCTCGGTCAGCAGCCCCCACTGCCGCAGGATGTTGTCCTTCTGCGCGCTGATGCGCTTGGTGTCGTAGTAGCCCTCGGACTCCATCTCCAGGGCCAGCTCCACCACCACCTGGATGCGCTCCTGGTAGGAGGAGATGTCGGCCTCGATGGCCTCGTGCTTCTTCATGGCTGCCTCCACCGCCGGCAGGTCGTAGCCGAAGTTGTCCTGGGGTGGGGGGAGATGTTGTAAGGAAGGTGGGCCCCCCACCTAGGAGAGATGGACCCCGTGGGGACGTCCCACCAAGCTGGAAGCACTGGTTAATGGTCGGACTTGACCACCAAGGTCTTCTACAACCAGTCTGATTGGGCATCACCAACCCTTGGGATGGGCTTGGTGCATTGCATTGAAGAGTTGAACCCCATGGGGACGTCCCACCAAGCTGGGAGCACTGGTAGATGGTAGAACCTGGTAACCTAGAAGGTCTTCTCCAACCAAAAGGAATCTATCCTTGGGCAATGTCAACTCTTGTGGTGGTCTTGGTGCACCACACTGGAGAGCAGAACCCCATGGGGATGTCCCAGCAAGCTGGGAACACCGGTTGCTGGTTGGACTTGGCCACTGGGGTCTTCTCCAACCAAAATCAATCCATGATTGGCCATCACCAACCCTTGGCATGACCTTGGCCCTCGGGGTGCCCACCAGGAACTCACTGACACCAGCCCCACCGTTCTCCCCAGGAACCCCAACCCCACCCAGCATCCAGAACCACGTCCCCCCTCCCCCCTGCCGAGCCCCCCACCCCCCCACCTGCGACACCAGCCGCTGGTTCTCGTTCAGCCACGTCTCCCGCATGGCCGCCTTGTGGTCGAAGCGTTGGGCCAGCAGCTCCAGCTTCTCCTGCCGGATCAGCTCGTTGCGCAGCGACACCTCCCGCTCGTGCTCTGCCTTCTCCAGGCAGCTCCAAGCCTACGAGGGGGGGGAGGTCGCAACAGGGTTTTGCCCCGAGGGTCTCCCTGGGGGCGCACCTCGCCCCCGTCCCACCAGCACCTTGTTGATGTCGGAAATGCTCTTGCCCTCGCTGGGGACGTAGAGCTTGCGGTTGGTGGCCCGCAGCTTGCTCTGGATGGTGAAGAGCAGCACCTCCAGGTTCCCCTTCTCCTGGAACCTTTCACAGGTTGGGCAACAGAAGGTGAGAATGTGCCCCCCCAAACCTTGTCCCCCCCAACCCTTACCCCCTCCCCGGGACCCTCACTTGACGGGTTTCTCCAGGGTGCAGAAGGCGGTGAAGGCCTGGAGCTGCTGCTGCACGCCGGTGAGGGAGTTGGCGAATTTCTGGTTGCTGATGATGGTGACGGTGTGCTGCACCCAGGCCAGCAGCTCGGCCGCCAGCGCCTCGTACCGCTCGATGATGGCCTCGATCTCCATGGCCTGATCCAGCACCTGGGCACGGGGGCGTGCACGGCTTGGAGGGGGCCTTCCCACAGACCCCCCCGAGGCAACCACGCATGGTGCAAGGGTGCACCTGTGGCACTCAAAAAGCCACACGTGGCACAGGGTCGCATTTTGCAGCCCCTCGAGCAACCATGCATAGTGCAAGGATGCATCCTGCAACCCTGAAGCAACTGTGCATGGTGCAAGGGCGCATCCTGCGACCCTCAAGCACAACTGGTGCAGGGTTGCATCTTGCAATCCAGAAGCAACTATGCATGGTGCAACGGTGCACCTGTGGGACTAAAAAAACCACACTTGTGGTGCAGGGGTGCATTTTGCAACCCCTCCAAGCAACCGTGCACAGTTTGGGGGTGCATCTCGCAGCCCCTTGAGCAACCATGAATGATGCAAGGATGCATCCTGCAAACCTGAAGCAATTGTGCATGGTGCAATGATGCACCTGTGGCCCTCAAGCAACCACACGTGGTGCAGGGGTGCATCCTGCAACCCTTCGAGGAACCATGCATGGTGCAAGGGTGCATCCTGCAACCCCCCGAGGAACCGTGCAAGGTTTGGGGTGCATCCCGTGGGACACCACCCAGCACCTGTTGGGCTGTGGCACCTCATGGAGCCACAGAGCCCCCCAGAGTACAGGAGGGGGCTCCCCGTGGGGTTGGGGGTCCAGCACCCCACGGAGTGATGCGGGGGCACCCCGACGCCCACCTTCCCAATGCGCTTCCCCTCCACGGCCAGCGCCTTCATCTTGGAGAAGTAGTGGTAGAAGGAGACCACGTAGGTGATGATGGACTTCTCATCGGGGTCCTCCATGTTGACATCTGCCGGGCAGCGAAGCGTCGGCCCCGAGCCTCCCTGCCCCCAAAATGCCCCCCTCGCCACCGTCCCCGTCCCCGGGCTGAAGAAGTCCTCAGGGGCAGCAAACGAAGCGGGGAGCAATTAACGAGGAGCGAGCGATGGGGTGAGGAGGATGGGTTGGATGAGATTCGGGTGGGTGGGTGGGTGGAGAAGACCTCGCACCCCACACGGATGGATGGATGGATGGATGGATGGATGGATGGATGGATGGATGGATGGATGGATGGATGGATGGATGGATGGATGGAAGGACGGACGGACGTGTAGATGGATGGATGAAGAGATGGACAGGTAGATGGGTGGACAGATGGGTGGACGGACAGACAGACGGAGTCCCCCAGGAGCAGCAGGGACACGAGGACGTCCCGTCCCATCCTGTCCCTACCCTCGGGGTCCAGCAGCTTGCTGAGCCCCAGCTGCTGCTCGGCCGTGTTGAAGGCTTGCTGCAAGTTGTAGGTAGCGTTGGACTTGGTCAGCTTGTGGAAGTCAATGAGATCTGGCCTGCAGTCGGGACACAGCCACGCAGAGCCCAATTTTGGGGTGTCCTCCTCCCCCCCCCCCAAAAAAAAAACAACCACAAAACACCAACCCCACGGAGGAGCCCCAAACCCCGTGGCCAACCTGTGCTTGTGGATGAGCGCGTTGAAGGCCAGCCCGTCCCTCCAGCTGGTGGTGAAGTTCTGGATGTTCACCTCGGGGTACCTGCAGGTAGAAAGGGGAAGGTCACCCCTTTTTTTTTGGGGGGGGGGAGGACCCATCCTGGCGTGAGGACGGTGCCACCACTCACCCTGCTGTCTTCATCTGGCACCAGAGCAGCAACGCGTCCTTGGCCGAGCGCGTCTCGCGGTTGTCCTCGGTCTTGATCTTGATCACCTGGATCTGGATGAAGCCGATGGGGCACTGCCACCGGGGCTGGGGACCCCGTCCCCAAATCCGAGGGACCCCTCCCCCGGCCGGCCCACCTGGAAGCGGAGGATGATGGTCCAGATGAGGCCGAGGGTCAGGCGGTGGTTGCCGTCCACGATGTCGTGCGAGCCCACGTTCTCCAGGTGCACGCGTTGCTCCTTGAGGAACTGCAGCGCCTTGTCCACGTTCTCCAGCGAGTGGATCCGCATCCGGCCCCGCGTCGGCTTGGGCTGACACCCCCAAAAAAAAAACAAGGAGGGGGGGGGGGGTCACAGCCCCTCAACACCCCGAATCTGCCCCCCCGAAAAACTGCTAAGCCTCCACCAAGAACCCTACGGAGATGGTTGGAGCCCCGCTTGGGTCTTGGGGCGATGGATGGGTTGGGAAGAATTGGGGGTGACTTTTCGGGCCGGGGGGGGCTCCGGGGGGACCCCGTTTCTCACCAGCTGCTCCCCGGAGAGCACCTCGAGGAGGCGGGTGAGGACGTAGCCGTCGCGGAGGTCGGCGTAGAGGTCCCCGACGCGGCACGAGGCGCGGGCGAGGTGCGCGTTGACCCACTTGGTGAAGGTCTTCTTCTGCACCGCGTCCCGCTCGTCTACCCAAATAGGGGGGGGGGGGGGGGGGGAGGACACAAATAACCCGTCAGACCCTCCCCAATCCCACCAACCCCCCCTGGAGCACCCCTGGGTGCTGGGCAGGGTCCCACCAGCCAAGGCTTTGATGCGGGAGCACTCGAAGAGCTTGGCGGTGGCCGCGGGGTCGGGACCCTCCCAGGGGCCGTTGTTGTTCTGCGGCACCTCCATGGTGTCCACCTCGGTCGCCATCTGGGAGGGGGGGGGGGGGGGGTTTAGGGTTTTTTTTTTTTATTGGGGGGGGTGATAGGGTCGTTGGGGGGGGGGACACCCCTGAAATGTGTCTGTCTGTCCATCCGTTGTGCCCCCCTTTCACTTTGTTGGATTAAGGGGGGCTCCTCCGCACCTCAGTTGTGGGGTGTTGTAAGGGGGGGGGCAATGGGGGACCCCACAGCAGCCCCCCCACATCATCCTAGGTACTCCCGAGCATCTGGTGCAGCCCCCCCCCAAAAAAGCAACCCCTGCAGCACCCCCTAAAGCACCCCCCAGAGAGCCCCTCAACGCCCCTACAGCCCCCCAGCACCCCATAGAGACCCTCCCAAATCCCATGGAGACCCCCCAGAATTCCTGTGGAGACCCCCCAAAATTCCTATGGAGACCCCCAGCATCCCATGCAGCTCCCCCCCAGTTCTCCCCAGCCCCCCATACAGCTCCCCAGCATCCCGCAGAGACCCCCCAGTACCCCTGCAGCCCCCCCAGCACCCCATAGAGACCCTCCCCAGCACCCCTGCAGCCCCCCCTAAAATCCCATACCGCCCCCTCAGCATCCCAGAGACCCCCCCGGCACCCTTGTGGCCCCCCAGCACCCCACAGAGACCCCCCAGGCCCTCTGCAGCCCTCTCAAAATCCCATGCAGCCCCCCCCAGCACTCCATAGAGACACCCAAAATCCCAGAGACACCCCCCAAAATCCCATAGGGACCCCACCAGCACCTTTGTGCCCCCCCCCAGCATCCCATACAGCCCCCCCAGCGTCTCCCAGAGACCCCTCAGCCCCCCTGCAGCACCCCCAAAATCCCACAGAACCGCCCTCAGCCCCCCTGCAGCCCCCCCAGCACCCCATAGAGACCCCCGGCTCCCCTGCAGCCCCCCCCCAAAATCCCATACAGCCCCCCCAGCACCCCATACAGCCCCTCCTGACCCCCAAGGGCCCCTCTGCAGTCCCCCCAAAACCCCAAGCAGCCCCTCCCAGAGCCCCCCCAGCCCCCCATGGAGCCCCCCCCGCGCTCCCCCCCCTTCCCTTCCCCCCTTCCCCGCAGGATCCGGCCCTCCCCGCGGTCACCTTGAGGGACCCCCCCGGGGATCCCGCTCCCCCCCCTCCCGGAGCCCCCCCCCGCCGCTACCGTGGCACCGGGGGGGGGGGGTCTCCGGCGCCCCCCCCTCCCCCAGGAGCCCCTTCCCCCGTTTCCAGCATCCCCCAGCACGTCCGCACCGGGGGAGGGGGGGGGGAGGGGAAAAAGGGGGTCGGGGGGAGGCCCCCGGTGCTGTGCCCCCCCCACCAGGGTGGGATGAGAAAGGGGGGGGGGGGGGCAATTACTGGAGGGGGGGGCACTTACCGGGGAGGGGGGGGGGCTGCGCTCCCGGGGCCGCCGCCGCGGAGCCGCCCGGTTCGCCCCAAGCTCCGCCCCCACCCCGGCAGCCAATCCCGGGGCTGGACCCCCTCCCCGTGACCCCCCCCCACCCCAAAATCACGCCGGTGCTGCCCCCCCCCCCCTCCCCGTACCCCCCCCTCCGCATCGGTGCTGCACCGGGAGGGAGGGGGGCGGGGGCTGCCGCTGGTAAAAGGGGGGGGGTGAAGGGGGGGGGCGTGCAAAACGGGAGGGGGGGGCATGCACGGAGGGGGGGGCACAAAGCGGGGGGGTGTAAAGCGGGGGTGCACGAAGTGGAGCTGTGCAAAGTGGGGGTGCACGAGCGGGGGTGTGCAAATTGCAGGTGCGTGCACCAGGCTGTGCAGACGGGGGGGTGCACGGCTGCAGCTGTGCAAAGTGGGGTTGTGCAAAGTGGGGTTGTGCAAACCGGGGGTGCACCAATGCCGATGCATGGACAGAGGCGTGCAAACTGGGGGTGCACGAACAGGGGTGCACAAACTTGGGCCGTGCAAACCGGGGGTACACAAGCAGGGGTTGTGCAAACTGCAGGTGCATGCACCAAGGGTGCACAAAGCAAGGCCGTGCACACTGGGGGTGCACGAGTAGGGGGTGCACAAACCATGGCCATGAAAACTGGGGGTGCATGAACAGGAGCGTGCAAACTGGGGGTGCACGCACCAAGGGTGCACAGACTGGGGTTGCACAAACCGGGGGTGCATGCACCAGGGGTGCACAAAGCAAGGCCCTGCAAACTGGGGGGGGGGGGGGGGGGGCACAAACAGGGGGGCACGGATGCGGACGTGCAGACTGGGGATTCAGGCACCAGAGGTGCACGAACTGGGGGTGCACGAACGGATTTGTACAAAGCAGGGGTGCACAGCCCGGGGTGCATGCACCAGGGTTGCACAGGCTGGGGTCACGCAAACCAGGGTTGCACAGGCCTGGGGTGCACAAACGAGGGCCGTGCAAAGCAGGGGGGGCACAAATGGTGTCATGCAAAGCAGGGTGCATATGCTGGGGGTGCACGGACAGGGGGTGCACGGAGCAGGGCCCGGGCTGGGGCTGTGCAACCTGGGGGTGCGTGCACCGGGGGTGCACAAACTGGAGAAGTGCAAGCAGGGATGCATGCAGCAGGGGAGTCGTGCAAACTGGGGGGTGCATGCACTGGGGTTGTGCAACTGGGGGGGGTGCATGCACTGGGGGGGGTCGCGCAATATGGGGGTGCACACATCAGGGCGGTGCAAACTGGGGGTGCACGGAATGGAGTCACGCAACCTGGGGGTGCACGCAGCAGGGTGGTGCAAAGCAGGGGTGCGTGAAACGGAGTCGTGCAAAGTGGGGGTGCACGCAGCGGGGGGTACACAACCGGGGGGTGCATGCACCGGGGGGGGGGTCGTGCAAACTGGGGGTGCACGGAGCAGGGCTCGGTGCATAACCCCCAGTTTGCCCCCCCCCCCCCCCCCCCCCCGGCTCCTCCGGCCCCCGGGGCGGGGCCGTTGCTCCGTGGCCGCCCCCCCGGGGGTGGAGCGAGGCGCGGGGGGGAGAGGGGGGGCCCCGAGGGGTGGTGGCGACCCCAGGGCCACCATGGCCACCTGCAGGAACATCGCCATCTTCGGGGCCACCGGCAGGACCGGGCTGGCCACCCTGAGCCAGGCTCTGGATGGCGGTAAGGGGGGGGGGGGGGCAGCACCCATGGGTGGCGCCCCCAGCCCCCCCCTTGCCCCCCTTCCGGATCGGGACGGGGACGTTGGGGACGGGGCCACTGGGGACATGGGACGGGTGATAATGGGGTCGGGGGGTCCTGGCTGTGGGCTGTGTGGGGCAGCCGGAGCCCATATGGGGTGTATAGGGCCTGTATGGGGCAGTTAGGGGCTGTATGGGGCAGCTAGGGGCTGTATGGGGCAGTTAGGGACAGTATGGGGCAGTTAGGGGCTGTATGGGGCAGCTAGGGGCTGTATGGGGCAGTTAGGGACAGTATGGGGCAGTTAGGGGCTGTATGGGGCAGCTAGGGGCTGTATGGGGCAGTTAGGGACAGTATGGGGCAGTTAGGGGCTGTATGGGGCAGCTAGGGGCTGTATGGGGTAGTTAGGGACTGTATGGGGCAGTTAGGGACAGTATGGGGCAGTTAGGGGCTGTATGGGGCAGATAGGGGCTGTATGGGGCAGTTAGGGGCTGTATGGGGCAGCGAGGGGCTGTATGGGGCAGACAGGGGCTGTATGGGGCAGCTAGGGGCTGTATGGGGTAGTTAGGGACTGCGTGGGGCAGTTAGGGACAGTATGGGGTAGTTAGGGGCTGCATAGGGTAGTTAGGGGCTGTATGGGGCAGATCGGGACTGTATGGGGCAGATAGGGACTGTATGGGGCAGTTAGGGGCTGTATGGGTCAGATAGGGACTGTATGGGGCAATTAGGGGCTGTATGGGGCAGACAGGGGCTTTATGAGACACTTAGGGGCTGTATGGGACGGGTAGAGCCTGTATGGGGTAGAAGCTGCCCATGCAGTGGGGACAGGGGGAGCCTCTGTGGGGCGGACGGAGCCTGTGTGGGGCAGATAGAGCCTGTATGGGACAGGTGGGGCTGATATGGGGCAGACGGAGCCGATATGGGGTGGACAGAGCCAATATGGGGCAGCTGGAGCCGATATGGGGCTGCCAGAGCTGATACGGGGCAGCCGGAGCCGTTATGGGGCCAACACAGCTCACCCGGGGCCAATACAGCCCCTATAGGGCACGTGGAGCCCCTGTGGGGCAGACGCTGCCGCTATAGGGCGGGAGGACCCTATAGGGCTCCCACGCAGCCCCCCAGCCCCATTCCCCCCCTATTTCCCCCCAATTTCCCCCGGAATAGGCTTACGGGGCCGCAGCGGCGGTGCTGAGTCACGCCCCGAAATGCTGAGTCACGGCCCTATTGTCACCTCCCCCCCCCCCAGGGTACGCGGTGACCGTGCTGGTGCGGGACCCCGGGCGCCTGCCCCAACAGGGCCCCCCCCCAGCGCGGGTGGTGGTGGGCGACGTCCTGGAGCCCCCCGCCGTGGCCGAGGCCGTGCGGGGTCAGGACGCCGTCCTCATCATCCTCGGCACCCGCAACGACCTGGGTATGGGACCCCCCCTGTGTCCCCCCCACCCCCGTGTCCCCCATGTCCCCGAGCCGGATGAGGACCCCCCCCCTCCCGTGTCCCCGTTCTCCTGGGGGGGTCCCTGTCCCTGCACCCCTATTGCCCAAGGACCCCCAACCCCGTGTCCCCATTACCCCAAGGACCCCCCCCCAGTGTCCCCATGTCCCCACGGACCCCGTTCCTGTGTCCCCAGTGCCCCAAGGACCCCAGCCCTGTGTCCCCATTGCCCCCCCATGTCCCCATTACCCCCCTATGTCCCCATTGTCCCCAAATGTCCCCGTTGTCCCCAAACGTCCCCATTGCCCCCTGCCTCCCCGTTGCCCCCGTGTCCCCATCACCCTCCTTCGTCCCCATTATCCCCACCTGTCCCCGTGTGCCCCTATGCCCCCCCCCGTGCCCTCATCCCCCCCCGTGTCCCCATTGTCCCCCGTGTCCCCATTCCCTCCCTGTGTCCCCATTATCCTCCATGTCCCCATTGTCCCCACCTGCCCCCGTGTGCCCCTTTTGCCCCCCCCCCGTCCCCATCGCCCCCACGCGTCCCCGTCACCACCCCTTACCCCCCCCACACACTGCACCACAGCCCCCCCGGACCCTCCCCCACCACCCTCGTGCCCCTCCCCGCGTGTCCCCACCCCCCCATATTGTCACCCTGTCCCCCCCCCAGGCCCCACCACCGTCATGTCCGAGGGCACCAAGAACATCGTGGCCGCCATGAAGGCCCACGGCGTGCGCAAGGTGGTGGCCTGCCTGTCCGGTGAGCGCCACCCCCCCCCCCCCCCCCCCCCGATGCGTCCCCTCCCCCTTGGGGACACCCCTCCCTCATCGTCCCTTCGTGTCCCCGTGTCCCCACCCCGTAGCCTTCCTGCTGTGGGACCTCCAGAAGGTGCCACCGCGGCTGCTGCCGGTGACCGAGGACCACGTCCGCATGCACCGGGTGCTGCAGGACTCGGGGCTGGACTGCGTGGCCGTGATGCCACCGCACATCGCCGGTGCGTGGGGACACCTGGGGACACCTGGGGACACGGGGTGGGGGGGGACGAGGGGATGATTTGGGTCTCAACATGTCATGGTGGGGCCACCATCACGGAGACAAACGGCCAGGTGGGTGGCACCAAGGCGGCGCGGGTGGGTGGTGACACCGTCGTGGTGGCGGTGGGTGGTGGCGTTGGGTGTCCCCAACCCTACGTGGGGATGCCACCATCTGGGTGACATTGGGTGATCCAATGACACTGGGTGGTGTCATGGAGCCATTGGATGTCCCCAACCCTACATGGGGATGCCACCATCTTGGTGACGTTGGGTGGTGGCATGTAGGGTTGGGGACACCCCTACATGGAGATGCCACCGACTCAATGACATCGGGTGATGGGACTGCGCCATTGGGTGTCCCCAACCCCATGTGCCGGTGCCACCGTCTTGGTGACATTGGGTGGTGGCATGGAGCCATTGGGTGTCCCCAACTCTACATGAAGACGCCACCAACCCAACGATGTTGGGTGGTGTCATGGAACTCTTGGGTGTCCCCAACCCTACATGACAAAGCCACCATTTGGGTGACATTGGGTGGTCCAATGACACTGGGTGGTGGCATGGAGCCGTTGGGTGTCCCCAACCCTACACGGAGATGCCACCATCTTGGTGACATTGGGTGGTGTCATGGAGCCATTGGGTGTCCCCAACCCTACACGGAGATGCCACCATCTTGGTGATATTGGGTAGTGTCATGGAGCCATTGGGTGTCCCCAACCCTACACGGAGATGCCACCATCTTGGTGACATTGGGTGGTGTCATGGAGCCATTGGGTGTCCCCATCCCTACACGGGGATGCCACCATCTTGCTGACATTGGGTGGTGTCATGGAGTTACTGGGTGTCCCCAACTCTACATGAAGATGCCACCAACCCAACGATGTTGGGTGGTGTCATGGAACTCTTGGGTGTCCCCAACCCTACATGACAAAGCCACCATTTGGGTGACATTGGGTGGTCCAATGACACTGGGTGGTGGCATGGAGCCGTTGGGTGTCCCCAACCCTATGTGGGGATGCCACCATCTTGGTGACATTGGGTGGTGTCACGGAGCCACTGGGTGCCCCCCACCCCCCTGTACCACCACCGGGGTGACGCTACCCGAGGGCGCACTCGGTGGTGGCGGCGGTGGCACCACGGCTCCACGGCGTGTCCCTGTCCCCACGCAGACGACCAGCCGCTGACCGGGGACTACGCCGTGTCCGTGGGGGCCACCGCGGGGGGCTCCCGCGTCATCTCCAAGCACGACCTCGGCCACTTCATGCTCCGCTGCCTCCACACCTCGGAGTACGACGGGAAGGGCGTCTACGTCTGCGGCCACTATCCCAAGGCCTAGGGGACGGGGGCAGGGACGCGGTGCCCCCCCCCCCCCCCCCCCTCACCCCGGTGACAATAAAGGGTCGCTGGTTTGCGCCTTCGGGGTCTCGGCCCTCTCATGGAGGGGGCGCTTGGAGCCGGGGGTGGGGGTCCCGAGGGGATGGGGAGGGTGGCAGTGGGGTGGGGGGGGGGGTTCTGTAGGGCTGGGGGGGTCCCCTAGGGCTGGGGGGGGTCCCCTAGGGCTGGGAGGGGTCCCCTAAGGCTGGGGGGGATCCTATAGGGCTGGGAGGGGTCCCATAGGGCTATAGGGCCAGGGGGTGTCCTATAGGGCTGGGGGAGGTTGCTGTAGGGCTGGGGGTGGGGTCCTGTAGGGCTATAGGGCTGGGGAGGGGGGGGTCCCATAGGGCTTGGGGGGTTTCCTGTAGGGCTGGGAGGGGGGGTTCTATAGGGCTGGGGGGTATCTGTAGGACTGCGAAGGGTCCTATAGGGCCCCCCCCCGCCGTGAATCGCCCCATTCTTGGCCCCCCCCCTCGACGCCACCCCCATGCGGGAAGTGCTGAGTCAGCACCGGGGGGGGGGGGGGGGGGGGGGGGGGGGGCTGGGGGTGTTGGGGGGGTCCTGGGGTGCTGGGAGGGGGGAGTCTGGAGGTTATGGGGTGCTGGTGATGCTGGGGGGGGGTCCTATGGGGCTGGGGGGTTCCTGGGGTGCTGGGGGTCCGGGGGGGTTCTTGGGTGCTGGGGGGTCCCCATAGTGCCAGGGGAGGGGGGGTCCTTCCACCCTGCCCCCCCCAACCCAACCCCTTGCCCCCCATTTCCAGTGGTGCCCCCCCACCCTCCAGAGCCCATTTTTGGGGTCCCTTCCCCACCCTGGGGCTTTCCCCTGCTTGTGCCCCCCCCACCAATCCCAACCCCCCCCCTCACCCCCCCCACCCCCCCCCGAGCCTTTTGAGCCCGTGCCAGCCTCTGCAGGGCCGGGTGCCACCGGCCCCCGCGCCCGGGGCCACCAATGGCCACCCGCAGCCCCCAGCGCCCGGCCCCCAGCCCCCGGCCCCTTTTCCCCTACGTCCCCCCCGCCTGCGGGGCCAGCACCGGGCGGGCACGGACACGGGACGGAGGTAAGGGCCTGTCCCTGTGTCCCCATACCCCCATGTCCCCATTGCCTTGTGTCCCCTTGTCCCCCAATACCCCTCTCCCCCTGTCCCCATATCCCACTGACCCCATATCCCCATGTCCCTGTGTCCCCTTGTCCCCATATCCCCATGTCCCCCTTTCCCTTTATCCCCTTATCCCCCTGTCCCCATATTCCCATGGCCACATATACCCCTATCCCCGTGTCCCCGTGTGCCCCCTGTCCCTGTGTCCCCACGTCCCCATATCCCCCATCCTTGTGTCCCCCATGTCCCCCTGTCCCCACATCCCCCCCATCCCCATGTCCCCCCTGTCCCCTCCCCCGTCCCCATATCCCCCTGTCCCCCATATCCGCCCTGTCCCCCTGTCTTCCGTATATCCCCCGTGTCCCCCATGTCCCTATATCCCCACTCCCTGGGTCCCTATGTCCCAGTGTCCCCCACATCCCCCCCATGTCCCCATATCCCCGTGTCCCCATTGCATTGGGGGGGGGGGGTGATGCATACGGGGCCGTGCTGGCTGCAGGGAGGGTGGCACCGAGGAGGGGGGGGACGTGATGGGGGGTGCTGGCGTAGCACCCCGCGCACACCGTGCACCCCTTGCACCCCGTGCACCCGTGCTCCCACCCCTCTGTGAGTTGCACGCCTTTGCACCCGCGCACCCCTGCATTTGCACACTCGTGCCTCTTTGCACCCATGCAGCTGCACGCCTGTGCACGGCGTAACTGTGCACATCGTGCATCTTGTGCGCATGCAGCCGTGCACCCGTGCACTTGTGCATCCGTGCACCCACGCACCCTTTGCACCAATGCATTTGTGCACCCGAGCACCGTGCAACCATGCACCTGCTGCAGCTTTGCACCCGTGCAACTGTGCACCCATGCATCCGTACACCCTTGCACTGGTGCACCAGAACACCCAGGTACCCCTTGCACCCGTGCACCCATGCATCTGGGCACGCTTGCAGCCATGCACCTGTGCACCCATGCATTGTGCACCCTTGCAACTATGCACCCATGCATCTGGGCACGCTTGCACCAGCGCACTAAAACACCCAGGCGCCCCCTGCACCCGTGCACCCATGCATCTGGGCACGCTTGCAGCCATGCACCTGTGCACCCATGCATTGCACGCTCATGCACCCATGCATTTACGCACCCTTGCACCCATGCAACCATGCACCCACGCATTTGTGCACCCTTGAACCCGTGCACCCATGCACCGGGGCGCCCATGCAACCACTGCACCAATGCACCCGTGCACCCTTTGCACCCACGTATCTGTGCACCAGTGCGCCCTTGCACCTGATAAAGCTGCAAATTGCACGTGCAATGGAGCGAGGGCCTGTTTTTTTTGGGGGGGGGGGCACACTGGCATGTGCCCCCCCCCCCCCTCCCCAGTCCTGCGTGGGTGCCACCCCCATGGGGTTTGTGCTGAGCACCCCGAATGCTCGGCATTCCCCGGGCCGGGGGGGGGGCGCGAGGCTGGGGACAAAGGGCTCGCTGTCCCCATGGGCACGGGGGTGGCACCTTGCGGGGGGGGGGACACATTTTAGGGGCGCGTCCCGCCGCGGGAATGCCAGCAATGAGCTGTGGCCTTTGGTGGCGTGGGAAGGAAATGTCACCCTGTCACCCTGCTGTCCCCAGGGGACAGGGACGGGGCTGGAGCGGCTGCAGGTTCTTTTGGGGGGAATCAGAGAGGTTTTGGGGTGCCGGGGGGGGGGCTGGGGAGAGGCACGGGGGGGTCTCCGTGGAGGGTGATGGGGATGTGCCCCCCACACCCGCTGGAAGGGGGTGATTTGGGGAGAGGGTGCTATGGGGGGCTTGAAATTGGGGGGGGGTAAAATTGGGGGGCTGCAATTGGGGTCTGTAATGGGGGGGCTCAGTAGGGGGGGTGTGCAATGGGGGGGTTCAATAGGGGGGCTTCAAGGTGGGGCCTGCACTGGGGGGGGGGCTGCGCTGGGGGTTGCCTCGCAAGAGGGTCCATTGGGGGGGCTCAGCGGTGTCTCTGCCCCGTCCCCTGCAGCCCCCCCCCCCCGTGGTGACGCTGGTGACACCCCCGGGCACCGCTGAAGCCCCCCCCCGGGCACCATGGAGCCCCCCCGGGCCAGCGGAGAGGTGAGGAGGGAGAAAGGGGGGGAGGAAGAAGAGGAAGAGGAGGCCAGAGGGGGGATGGAGGACGGGGAGGGAGGACGTCGGCGCTCGGACGCTGAACCTGGGCGCCCCCCACCCTTGGGTGCCCCCCCCACCCCCCCGGCGCTGTCCCCCCAGGAGCTGCTGGAGGTGGTGGTGGAGGCCGGTGCCGGTGACATCCTCCTGGCTGGTGGCCGCGACGGCATCTACGTCCGCGAGGCTCACCGCGGCTCCGGCCTCCGCCAAGGTCAGCCCCCCCCCATTATCATTGGCGCCCCCCACCCCAAAAAGCCCACCCTCACCCCCCCCCCCCCCACCCGTAGGTGACCGGCTGCTGAGCGCCCGCGTCTTCTTCGAGGACGTGCGGTGCGAGGACGCGGCGCGGGTGCTGCGCTGCGCCCAGCCCTGCCGCGTCTCCTTCTGCCTCAAGCGCCCCGGGCCGGGGGGGCGCGGACCCCCCGGGACCACCACAGCCCCCCCCCAGGGCAAGGAACCCAAGGCCAAGGTGGCCAAGCTGGTGGGTGACGGGGATTGGGGGAGGAGGGGGGGGGGGGAGGGTGGCGTTGGGAGCGTGGGGTGCTCGTGGGTGGCACCGGGGACGTGGGGCACCCATGGGTGGTGCTGGGGGCATGGGGCACCCATAGGTGGCTACAGGGACATGGGGCACCCATGGGTGGCACCGGGGACATGGAGCACCCATGGGTGGCACTGGGGACATGGGGTGCTTGTGGGTGGCACTGGGGTACCCATGGGTGGCACTGAGGACATGGGGTGCTCGTGGGTGGCACTGGGGACATGGGACACCCATGGGTGACACAGGGTGCCCATGGGTGGCACTGGGGGCATGGGGCACCCATGGGTGGTGCTGGGGGCATGGGACACCCATAGGTGGCTACAGGGATGTGGGGCACCCATGGGCGGCACTGGGTGCCCATGGGTGGCACTGGGGGCATGGGGTGCTTGTGGGTGGCACTGGAGTACTCATGGGTGGCACTGGGGACATGGGACACCCATGGGTGGCACTGGGGACGTGAGACACCCATGGGTGGCACTGGGGATATGGGGTGCTCGTGGGTGGCACCGGGGACATGGGGCACCCATGGGTGGCACTGGGTGCCCATGGGTGGCACTGGGGGTGTGGGGTGCTCGTGGGTGGCACTGGGGTATCCATGGGTGGCACTGGGGATATGGGGTGCTTGTGGGTGGCACCGGGGACATGGGGCACCCATGGGTGGTGCTGGGGACATGGGGCACCCATAGGTGGCTACAGGGACGTGGGGCACCCGTGGGTGGCACTGGGGGCGTAGGGTGCTCATGGGTGACACAAGGGACATGGGACACCCACGGCTGTCACCAGGAACAAGGGGACACCCATGGGTGCCACCACCTCCCGCTGGCCATCCCCACGCCCCCCCCCCCAGCCCCAACCCCCCCCCACGCTTTCTGTCCCCCCCCCAGAACCTCCTGAGCCTGGCGCCCCTCAAGAAGAAGCCCCCCCCGTCGCCCCCCGTGGACGTGGAGCTGGCCCTGCCCAAGCTGGCCCTGCTGCCCCCCCGGGGGGGGGCAGGCACCGAGCCCCCCCCCGCCACCCCCTCGCCCCCCCGCGCGGTGCCCGAAGCCCCCCGGCCGCAGCGGGTGACGGTGAGGGAGGAGGCGGCGGCGCTGGAGGTGGCACTGCCGGGGACCCTCACCGAGCCCGGGGGGGGGACACCAGGAGGCGGGGGGGGGCCCCCGCTTGCCCGCCGTGGAGGTGGCGGTCCCCAAAGTGGGGGTGCCCAAAGTGGGGGTGCCCAAAGTGGGGGTCCCCAAGGTGGCGGTCCCCAAGGTGGGGCTGGGCGCCCCCCCAGCCCAAGGAGGTGACCCCGGTGGCACCAGTGGCACCAGTGCTGGCCATCGCCGTCCCCAAGGTCGAGGTGGGTTTGGCGCTGCCCAAAGCCTGGCGCCCAAGGGAAATTGCCCAAATTGGGCCTTTCTTGCCCCAAAACGCCCGCCGAGGGCGGCGAAGGGCCCAAAATGCCCGGCCTGGAGGTGGCCGCCCCCGCGGTGGCCCTGGAGGTGGCTTTGGGGAGCGGGGGGGACGCGGGCGTCCCCGAGGCCAAACCCCCCAAATTGGCCCCCCCCAAAGTGAAGGGGGGCAAATTGGCCCCCCCCCGGGGGCTGGGAGCTGGGGGGGTGGCGGTGGGGGGGGGCGAGGCTGCCCCAATTCGGGGGCTCGACCCCCGACATCCGCAGCGGGGGGGTCCCCAAAGCGAGGCCGGCGGGGCGGGGGGGCAGCGCCGAGAGCTTGCTGGGGGGGGGGGCCCAAAAATTGGGCTGGGGGGGGGGCTGGGGGTCTCCATCCCCGCCGTGGGCTTTTCGGAAGGGGGGAGGCCGCGGGGGGGGGAGGCTGAGGAGGGGGCGAGGAAGAGGCCGGCGTTGAAGGTGCCCGAGCTGGAGCTGGCGGCCCCGGGGGGGCTCGGGGGGGGCAAAGAAGCAGCCGGGGGGGGGAGAGGAGTGGGGGGGGCCAAGCCCCCCAAATCCCCCCCCCCCACGGCGGGGGGGGAAGGCGCGGAGGCGAGGCTGAGGATGGGCAGCGTGAGGAAGGCCGTGCTGGTGCTGGTGAAGGGCAAAGCCGGGGGGGGGGGGCGAGGAAAACGGGGGGTGGGGGGGCCCCGTTTGGGGCTTTTCTAAACCCAAAACGGAGCCCGAGGCACCCCCCCGGCGCTGGGTGCCCAAGGTGGGCTTCTCGGTGGGGGGGGGGCAGCAGCAGCTCCCCCAAAAGCAGCCTAAAGTGCGGCTGCCCCGCCTGGAGCTCGCCCCCCCCCAGTGCCCCCCCGAGCTGGCCGGGGGGGCCGTGGAGGGGCTGGGGGCAGGGGGGGGGACACCCAAAGTTCCAGCTGCCCCAGCTGGAGCTCAGCCCCCCCGCCCGCTGCCCCCCCCCCCAGGGGGAGGAGGAGGAGGAGGTGAACCGGTGAGGAAGAAGCGGCGCCATCGGCCCATTTGGGGGGGGCGTTAACCCCACTCTCCCCCCCCCCCCCCACCGAAGATCCTAATTGAGCTTTTGGGTGTTCTTTTTTCCCCCCTTTTCACCCCAATTTTAATCCCCCCCCCAAGTTTTCTCCGCTAACACGGCCCCCGGCTTTTGCCCTCCCCCCCCCCCAAAAAAAAAAAAAACAAAACCCTTGGTGCTGGAATAAAGGTGGGCGCCAGGAGCCGGCTCTGTTATGGGGGTGCTTTTGGGGTCGGGCTTCCGCGAGCCATATGGGACAGCCCCCCCCCGGTGCCCCGGGTGTCCCCCCCCCGTGCTCCGTGTCCCCCCGAGCCCCATGTCAGGGGTTTTGGGGTCCCAGGTGCCCCACGTCCCAATGTCCCCCACGTCCCCATTAACCCCACATCACGGGTTTTGGGGTCCCAGGTGCTCCATGTCCCCATTAACCGCATTATCTCCAGGACCCCCACATCACGGGTTTGGGGTCCCTGCTGCCCCACGTCCCAATGTCCCCCACGTCCCCATTAACCCCACATCACGGGGTTTCGGGTCCCAGGTGCTCCATGTCCCCATGTGCCCCATGTCCCCGGTTTTGGGGTCCCAGCAGCCTCACTGGGCCACTGGGACTGGGATACTGGGACTGAGATACTGAATACTGGGATGGGGGGGGGGGGGGTTACTGGGATGGAGGGGGAGGCTACTGGGACGAAAGGGAGGAGGGGGACTGGGGCTGGGGGGGGCCGTACTGGGACCATGGGGGCCGTACTGGGACGGGGGGGGGGGGGTACTGGGAGCGAGCGCCGGGCACTAGGACCGCGCGCCCACCCTGCTGCCCACCCTGCTCCCCACCCACGTCCCGCCCCCTTCCCCGCCCCCCTCTCCCCATTGGCTCTCCCGCCTCGCCCTCTTTTCCTATTGGCCGCCGGCGGTGATGGGCGGTGCTCGAAGGCGGGGCCGCGCCTGCGCGCTGCCCTCGGACCTGCGGGAAGATGGCGGCGGCCGGGCGGGCGGCGGTGGCGTGCGGGGCCCGCGCCGCTCTCGGGGCCCGCCGGGGCCGGGCCGGGGCCTTCAGGGCCGCCTCCGGGACCGGGAGCGGCACCGGGACCGCGGAGCTGCTGCAGGAGCGGCTGCGGCGGCACCAGGTGGGGGGCTTGGGGGGGGGGCCGGGGACCGGGGGGGGGGGAGGGGAAACCGGGGTGGGGGTCCCGGTTCCCTTTGGGGGGGGCTCCCGGTTACCGGGGGGGGCTCCCAGTGTCCCGGGGGGGTCCCGGTTCACCGGGGGTCTCCCGGTTCCCCTTTCCCCATTACCGGGGGGGTCCCGGTTCCCTTTGGGGGGGGGGCTCCCGGTTACCGGGGGGGCTCCCAGCGTCCTGGGGGGGGGGGGTCCCGGTTCACCGGGGGTCTCTCGGTTTCTATTTCCCTATTACTGGGGTGTGGGGGGCTCTCCCGTTCCCCCCCCCTCCCTCCCTCCCTCACCGTTCCCCCCCCCCCCCCTTTTAATTAATTAATTAATTTATTTATTTATTAATTTATTTATTTTTCCAGGCAGCGGCTGCGCCCCCCCCGGGCCCCCTCCCCCCGGGTGCCCCCCCCCGGCCCGGTTCCCAGCAGCAGCAGGAGGAGGAGGAGGAGGAGGAGCGGCGGCGGCAGCGGCTGGCGGGGGCTCGGCGCCTGGCCCTGCGCCTGGGGGGGCTGCTGGGGGCCGGCACCGGCCTGGCCATCGTCTACGTCTTCGGTGAGACCCCCCCCCGGGACCCCCCCCCCCAAAAAAAAAACAACAAAAAAAACACAAAAAAAAACCGGTACCGGGACCCCCTCCCCCTCACGCCCCCTTCTCTCCCCCTCCCCGCAGGCAGCAACGCCGTGGACGAGCACGGGGCCAAGGTGAGGGCCCCCCAGGACCCCCCCCCCGGACTCCCCCATCCCCATTTCCCCCCCCTCCCCCTCAGGACCCCCCCCCCCGAGCCCCTTCCTACCCTCAGCAAACCCGCGCCCTCACTGCCCCCTTTTGTTGCTCTTTTTACCCCATTTCAGAGACTCCGCCCCATGTGGGGGGGGGGGGGGCAGGACTTGGTGCCCGCCCCCCCCCAAGCCTCTTTTTTTTTTTTTTTTTTTCCACAAATTCCCTTTTTTTATGATTGTTCGGGGCTTTTGATGTCCCCAGGGGGGCGGAGGTGACAACGGCCCCCCCGCTGGGGACATCAAGGGGCTTTCAGGAAGCTCCCCCCCCCCCACCCCCCCCCCCAAACAAAAAAAAACCCTCACCCAGCTGCAAATTGCCCCCGTGCCCCCCCCCTTGAGGTGTCCCCCCCCCCTTCCTGCTGCCCCCAACCCCTTTTTATGGGGTTCCCCTCTTTTATGGGGTCACCCCCCCCATATTACCTCTCGCCCCCCCCCCCCTTTATTTTTTGCAGGTCCCTGACGAGTTCGATGGAGGTGAGTGACCCCCCCCCCGGGGGGGGGACGGAGGTGTCCCTGGGGCCATTTGTCACCTCCCCACGCCCTTTTATAAGGTTCTTCACACCCCCCGTGGAATTTTGGCGCTTTTGGGGTTTTTCCCATGCAGAAAAGGAATTTAAGGGGGGGGGGGGGCATTGCTGGGGGGCGCACAGGGCCCCCAAATGGCTCTCGCCCCCCCCCTTTTTCCCCGCAGACCCCGTGGGCATCCAGCAGCTGCGCCGGACCTACAAATACTTCAAGGACTACCGACAGGTTTTTTTTTTGGGGGGGAGGGATTTTTGCCCAATTTCCTGCCATTTCGCTTTGTTTCGGGGCTGTTTGTCTCCCGCAGGGGTGGGGGGGGCACCCCCTGAGTGCCCCCCCCCCATGAGATTTGTCCCCGTTTTGGGGTCCCCTTTCGAGAGGCTCTGACGTCATTTTGGGGCGTTGGGTGTCGGTTTTGAGGGTCCCTTTCCCCCCCCAGTAATTGGGGGCTCCCCCTGTTCGCCCCCAATAATTGGAGCCCCCCCCGATAATTTGGGCCCGCCCCCGATAATTTGCCCCCCCATCCCCCTAATAATTTGCCCCCCCCCCCCCAGTTTGAGGGCTGTCCCCGTCCCCCATTTGAGGGGCTCCTCTCCCCAATTCGAGCCTTCCCCGCCCCCCTAATTCCAGGGGGGGCTCTCCCCAAGTTGGGGGGGGGGCTCCCCCTCTATTTGAGGGGGGGCTCTCACCCCTAACCCCCCCCCCCCAGATGATCATTGAGCCCACCAGCCCCAAGCTGCTGCCGGACCCCCTGCGCGAGCCCTACTACCAGCCCCCCTACACCCTCGTCATCGAGCTCACCGACGTCCTGCTGCACCCCGAGTGGTCGGTGAGTGCCCCCCCCGGGCCCTGCGTGTCCCCCCCCTCGCTGTCACCCCCTCCAGGTGCCATTTTTATGTCCCCCCCCCCCCCCCTCAGCTCGTCACCGGCTGGCGTTTCAAGAAGCGCCCGGGCATCGAGAGCCTCCTGCAGCAGCTCGCCCCCCTCTACGAGATCGTCGTCTTCACCTCCGAAACGGGCATGGTCAGCGCCCCCCCCCCCCGCCACGGGGAGGCCCCCCCCTTGTCAAAAAAGGTGGCGGACCCCAAAAAACCTCTTTTTTTCGCCCCCCCCCCCCCCCCCCCCACCCAGACCGCCTTCCCCCTCATCGACAGCATCGACCCGCACGGCTTCGTCTCCTACCGGCTCTTCCGCGACGCCACGCGCTACATGGACGGGCACCACGTCAAGGTTTGGGAAGGGGGGGGGGGGGGGAGAGATTTTGGGGACCTGGGGTGGGGGGGGGGGTTTGAGCTCCTTGTCCCCCCCCCCCAGGACATCTCGTGCCTCAACAGAGACCCCGCCAAGGTGGTGGTGGTGGATTGCCGCCGGGAAGCTTTCTGCCTGCAGCCCTACAACGGGCTGGCGCTGCGCCGCTGGGACGGCAGCTCCGACGACCGCTCCCTCTATGACCTGGCCGCCTTCCTTAAAAGTGAGCAAAAAGCCCCGAACCGCCCCAAAAAAAACCCTTCCTTAGCTCCTCACCCCCCCCCTCCCTTTTTTTTTTCCCCCCCAGCCATCGCGCTGAGCGGGGTGGAGGACGTGCGCGCGGTGCTGGAGAACTACGCGCTGGAGGACGACCCCCTGGCCTGCCTTCAAGCGGCGTCGCTCGCAGCTCGAGGAGGTCGGGGCTTTTTTGGGGACGTTTGCCGGGTTTTTGGGAGGGGGGGGGGGGCTCCAAAAAAAAAAGGGTTTTAATGGCTTTTGGGGTCTCGTTACAGGAGGAGCAGCAGCGGCTGGCGGAGCTGGCGCAGGGCAAGAAGCCCCCGGGGCTCTTCCTGGGCACCCTCGCCCGGCGCTCTCTGGCCCCACTCCAAGCAGCAGTGACGCCCCCGACCCCCCCCCTCGTCCCCGACCCCCCCACGTTGTCGCCGCCTCCCCCCCTATTGTCACTGACCCCCCCCGACGCGTCCCCAGCTTTTATTTTTATTTTTTTGGGGGGTTGGTTGCATCCCGCAAGGGAGGGGAAATAAAAGGAGTTGGCGGAGGTGGGGGCGCTGCATGGTGATTTTTTTTGGGGGGGGGGGAACACACAGCGGGGGTCCCCTCCCCTTGTTTGGGGTTTTTATGCAGGGGGGGGGGATTGTGTCCCTCCAGTTTGGGGTCTTTATGGGGGGACAGGGGACTGTGTCCCCCCCGCTTTGGGGTCTTTATGGGGGGGGGTCTGTGTCCCTAAAATTTGGGGTCTTATGGGGGGGTTGCATCCTAATTGGGTCTTGGGAGGGGGGCAGAGGGGTTGCATCCCCCGATTTGGGATCTTTATTGGGGGGGGCGGTGTCCCCAGGATTTGGGGTCTTTGGGGGTGGTGGTAGGGAGCTGTGCCCCCCCCCCCTTTTGGGGTGGGCTTTGGGAGGGGGTTGGGCTTTGGGGTCTTTATGGGGTGCTCCCCCCCCTTTTGGGGGTGGGCTTTGCGGGTCTTGCCTGGGGGGTGCGTGGATGGTAGGGGGCTGTGCCCCCCCCCCATTTGGGGGGTGGGCTTTGGGGCGGGCTCTCCCCTGGCCCTTCCCTCCCCAAGGAATTCCTGGGGGCAGGGGGGGGTCGGGCTCAGACCCTGCTGAGCCTCGGGACCACCAGGTTGGGACCCCCCCCCCAGCACCAGGCCATGGCCCCGCTGCTCCTGGCTGCCCTCCTGGCACTGCTCTGCCCCCCCCCGGTGAGAGGGGCCGGGGGGGGGCTCTTCAGGAGGCTCTCAGTGGATTTATTTTTTTTTTTTGGGGGGGGGGGAGGGTCCTGGGGGGTGTTTTGGGGGTCTTTGCCCTCAAAGTTTGCACTGGAGGGTCTTTGGGGGGGGGTTGGAAGAGTTGTGCCGGGGGGGGGGTTCGTATTTGGGGTGTTAGGGGGGTGTAATTGGGGACATGGGGGGGCTTTTGGGGTGCTGGGGGGTGGATTTGGGGGAGCTTGGGGGTGTGTTTGGGGTGCTGGGGGGGTGTAATTGGTGACATGGGGGGGCTCTGGGGTCCTGGGGGGCAGTATTGGTGGTGCCGGGGGGGCTTTCAGGGAGCTGGGGGGGCTTTTGGGGTGCTGGGGGTTGGATTTGGGGACCTGGGGGGTGGATTTGGGGACCGGTGGGGGGCTTTTGGGGTGCTGGGAGGGGGCAAATCCCCAAATCCCAATGGGTGTTTTGGGTTTTGCTGGGGGAGGGGGCGGCTCTGGGATGTTTGGTGCTCCCCAAGGGGGGGGCGGGGGGGGCATTGGGGTCTTACCCGGGGTCCTCGATGCCCCCCCCCCCCCACGCAGGTGCAGCCCGGGGGGGTGCTGGAGCTGCGGGTGCTGTCGGCGCGGGGGGGCCCTGGGGGGCCGTGCGGGGGCCCCCCCTCCTGCCGCCTCGTCTTTCGCCTCTGCTTGCGCCCCCCCGGGGGGATCGGCTGCAGCCTGGGGGATCACTCACAGCCCCCCCGGGCCCCCCCCCAGCCCGGGTGCCCCCCGCCTGCTCCGCTTGCCCTTCGCCTTCCCCTGGCCGGTGAGGACCCCCCCGTGCCCCCCCCCACCCATGGAGCCGAGACCTTGGCTCCCTGCAAATACCCCCCCCAATCTGGTCCCTAGGACCCCATAGATTTGACCCCCCCCCGCCCCATTTTTTGCCTCCCCCCCCCCCCCCCCCGAGCAGGGCACCGTGTCCCTTGTGGTCGAATCCTGGCGGCTGGATGAGGCCAAAGGGCCTGGGGGTGAGTGGGGGGGGGCAGAGGGTGCTGGGGGGGGAGCCATGGGGTGCTGGGGGGGGGGCACAGACCCTATTGATTTTATTTGGGGGGGGCGGACACAAGGATTTGGGGGGGGGGAGGTGGGAGTTTGGATGTTGTAAATAGGCATTTGGGATGGGGGGGGGGAACAGAGGAGAAAAAAATAATAATTGGGGATTGGGGGGATCCATAGGGTGCTGGGGGGGGCACAGACCCTATTGATTTTATTTGGGGGGGGGGGACACAAGGATTTGGGGGGAGGTGGGAGTTTGGGTGTTATAAATGGGAATTTGGGTTGGGGGGGGCAAGCAGAAGAGAAAATGTTCAAATTTGGGATTGCGGGGGGGAGTCCATAGGATGCCCTGGGGGCACAGACCTTATTGATTTTATTTGGGGGGGGGGGACACACAAAGATTTGGGGGGGGGGGGAGGTGGGAGTTTGGATGTTGCAAATGGGCATTTGGGGAGGGGGGCAAGCAGAGGAGAAAAAGTCTGTTTTTTTTTGGGGGGGGGGCAGACCTTTTTTTTTTTTTTTTTTTTTTTTTTGGGGGGGGGGGGGGGTCTGACGGCTCGCACAGCTCCCCAGGGCCGGCTGCTGGGCCGAGCGGTGGCAAGGCAGCGCCTGGTGCCGGGGGGGCCGTGGCGGGGGGGGGGCAGGGGGGGGGCTGCGCTTCGGCACCCGCCTGCGCTGCCGCACCCCCGCCCGTGGCCCCCGCTGCCTCCCCCCGTGCCCCTCGGCCGCCCCCTGCCCCCGCCGCTGCCCCCCCTTCCCCGCTGCCTGCCGCCGCCCCCCCCCCACCCCAGCACCGCCGCTGCTGGCCCCCCCGCTGCTGCCCCCCCCGGGAGTGCCCAGAGCCCCCCCCCTCCTCCCCGGCATCCCCCGACGCCTGTCCCCAGGCTGGGGGGTGCAGGGGAGACGGCCAGGGCTGTGCCCCCCCCGGTGCCAACAGCACGGTGAGTGACACCTTGGGGGCCCCCCCCCTTCCGCCTTGGGGACCCCCCCCCCGGGTCACCTTTGGGACCCCTTTGGGACCCCCCCGTACCACCTCTGGGACTTCCCTTGGGACCCCCCCGGGTCACCTCTGGGACCCCCTTGGGACCCCCTTGTGCCACCTTCAGGCCCCCCCCCCCTCCCTATGTCACCTTTGGGACCCCCCCCTCTGCCACCTCCACATGGGCTTTTAGGCCTCCGTGCCCCCCCCGGGGATGCTTTCGGTGACCCCCCCCCCACACCCCCCACCAGGTCTTTAGGAGCGACCTGGGGGGGCCGCGCTGTGACCCCCCCGCCCTGGGGCGCCCCCCGTCCCCGAGAGCCCCCCCCGAAGCGGAGCCGGTGCCGGAGGCGTCGCCGTCGCCCTGCGCCCTTGGGCCCTGCTTTAACGGGGGGGCCTGCGCCCCCGCGCCCCCCCCCGGCACCGGCTACAGCTGCCGCTGCCCCCCCGGCTTCCACGGCTCCAACTGCGAGCGCCGAACCGACCGCTGCGCCGACAGCATCTGCCAGAACGGTGAGGGGGGGGAGGCCCACTGGGACCCCCCCCCTGCTGGGACCCCCTGGGTGCCCCCCCCCCTCCCCGCTGGGACCCTCCTGCTGGGACCCTCCCCAGTGTGACCCCTCCACTGGGACTCCCCCTGGGTGCCCCCCCCCCCACTGTGATCCCTCCCAGTGTGCCCCCTCCCACCCCAAGTCCCTCTTTCTGCCCCCCCCATGCCCATCTCTCACCCCCCCAAGCCCCCTTTCCACCCCCCCCAGACCCCCTCTCTTCCGCCCCCAGACCCCCTTTCTCCCCCCCACAACCCCCTTGCCCTCCCAACCCACCTCTCTCCCCTCCCACCCCCCCCCAAACCCCTCCCCAACCAACACCTCCCCACACTCCCCTCCATCCCCGACCCCCATCTCTTCCCCCCCCCCCCCCCACCTCCCCCCCAGTATCCCCATAACCCCTCACCCGCAGGCGGCCACTGCCTGGACCTGGGGGGCCGCAGCGTGCTCTGCAGGTGCCGCCCGGGCTTTTCGGGCCCCCGCTGCGAGCACAACGTGGACGACTGCAGCCCCAACCCCTGCGCCAACGGCGGCACCTGCGTGGACGGCGCCAACGCCTTCACCTGCTCCTGCACCCTGGGCTACGCCGGCGCCCGCTGCCGCCTGCGGGCCGACGCCTGCGCCTCGGGCCCCTGCCTGCACGGTGCCACCTGCTACACCCACTTCTCCGGCCACGTCTGCGCCTGCCCCCCCGGCTTCATGGGCCCCCGCTGCGAGGAAGAGGTCGGGGGACCCCCCCCGGCCTCTCCTCGCCGCCAGGCCCCGGCGCCTTTGGCCATCGCCTGCGCCCTCCCCGTCGCCCTCCTGGGGCCTGGGCTGGGTTTGGTGCTGGCGGCCCGCGGGTGGAGGAGGCGGGCGGGGGGGGGGGAGAGGTGAGAGTGAGGGGTACGGGGGGGGTGTGGGGCAGCTGGGGGGCACGGGGGGACAAGGGGGAAGCTGGGGGTCCTGGGGGGATGAGTTGGGGCACATGGCTGATGTGTTTTTTCTCACCAGCAGCCGAACACTGGAGCCGGGGGGGGGTCCTGGGGTGAGCCCCCCAGGGACAGAGCAGCCTCTGCCACCCCGGGCCTCGGCCACACAGGTGAGGATGAGGACCCTGCGCTCAGAGCGTAACTGCCCCTTCCTCGTCCTCCTCTTCTTCTTCTTTAACCCTCCCGGCACCTTCCAGGTCTGAGGCAGCGGTGATGGACCCCACAAGACACCAGAGAGGACTTTGGAGAAGGAGGGGAGGGTTTTTTTTCTTGCTGGTACTGGGACGTCTGAGTCCCAATCCTGTTTGAGCCCTGATATTGTGACGTTTGTTTCCCAATACCGAGAGTTTGTGACCTGATCCTGGGACACTTGTGCCCCGATACGAGGGCGTTTGTGTCCCAATACCAGGACATTTGCGCCCTGATATCAGGATGTTTGTGCCCTGATACCAAGACTTTGTGCCCCAATACTGGGATGTTTGTGCCCCAATATCGGGATGTTTTTGTCCCGATACCGAGAGCTTGTTCCCCGATATCATGACGTTTGTGCCCTGATATCATGACGTTTGTGTTTCAATACTGGGACATTTGTGCCCCGATATTGGGACGTTTGAGCCCCGATACCGGGATGTTTGTGTCCCAATACCGAGAGTTTGTGCCCCGATATTGGGGTGTTTGTGACCCGCAATCAGGACCTTTCTGCCCCAATAAAGTCCTTTGAGAGGCTGTTGCTGTGGGGATCGCAGCAGTGTTGGTGCTCTCTTTTTCCCTAGAGGCGCTGCGCGTGCTTGAGGAGGGAGCACTGGGGGGGCGCACACAGTGGGGACAGGAGCCGTGGGCTGGGGCCGAACGAATCCCACGTGAGGCTGATGAAAGTTGTGCAAAAAATCCCAGTAAGTTTTCCAGACGGGGTGATCCGTGGAGCTACATTCCCTATTTCTGATGCTGATTTCTCATGATTTCTCCCCCATTTCCTCGCTGGCTGAGTACTACAGGTTCACAACCTACTCAAAGCCTTTTCTATACCCTATATGAACAATTTTATTTGACCAACCATTTAATGTCTCCCTTTTTTCTTTCCGTTCTTCTCCCATGCCTAGAGGGCCTGTGATTTTCGGTTTTGCTGATTTTGCCCTCTTTTTCTGAGCCGTCCTCCTTACGTCAGGACCGTGGGACCTTCCCCTTCACATCTTGCTGTGCCACAGTCCTGCCTGCGTGATCCCTTTGGAATATAAAGCCACCTTCTACTTCAAAAACACTGCTTCCTTCCTTGCACTTGCCACCCCGCTGATGTCCTTGTCACCCCCTCAATAGCCCCCCCTTGCCCCATTAGATGTCCCAATGAGGGGGGCAATTTGCACCTCTGCCCCCTGCTGCGTATCAAAAACCCACCAACACCTCCCGGATGACCCTAAATAAGGGAGGTTTGGTGAGAAAAACACCAGCAGGAAAAGGGGGGTGGGATGGGGGGGAAGAGCAATGCTACCCCCCTGGGAGGTACACAAAGCCCCACCGGAGCCCTCAAAATTGGGGGAAAACAGCAGGAAAAGGGGACGGATGGAGCATAAAGGGTGCTGAGCTCCAAAGGGTGGGAATGGGATTGTTATAAATGAAGTCTCAACTCAATCTGAATTTTATAATATTTATAAAACAAATATTTATAAAAGGTAGAAAAGGCAAGTAAACAGCACTGGGCGTGCGGGGAGTCTACGCTCCACCAACACACACACACGAACATCAAACATTCTAAAGATACAGAACATTACTTTACATACTAAACCCGAGTAAACCTATACATATGTACAATCAGAAAAGGTAACAAACGATCCTTTAAGTTCCATGACTCAACAGTCTCCATTTTCCATAATAATAATAATAATATTTTTATATAATATAAAAATATAATATTATTTTTTGGAGAAAAATAATAATAAATGTATAAATTAAAAAAAAAATTGAATCTGGCTTCAGAAAACAAACAGAGGCAATTGGTTAGCCTCTTTCTAGGGCAATCAGCTCCTGATACTGGAAAGAAATTGTCTTAGGTTGCAGGATAAACTTACAACAGTCAGGAATGATGGGGACCTGGGGCATCTAGCCTAGCAGGTCCGCTGGTTGAAACAAAGCTAGGGAATGAAGAAGCGAAGCTTGAATTTTTTGTTGGTTATGGGAACTTATTTCTCTGTGTTAATTAGTCTGTAAATATAATAGGAGCAAGTGGCCAACAGGAAAAGGCGTTTTTTTTGCAATGCTTGAAGTTTAAATTGGGAAAAATGATTGGGATTACAAAATGAAAAAACAGTCAAGTTTGGTTCTTGGTGCTAGATTTAAAGGCTGCCTTTTTCTGCCTGTCTGTGGCAACTGAAAACCAGAAACTCTTTGCCTTTGAGTGGGAAAATAATAATAGAGGATGGAAAACTCAGCTTACTTGGACAGTGTTACCACAGGGGTTCAAGAGCAGCCCCACCATATTCGGGAACTGTGATCTTGAAGCTTGAAATACCCCTTCGGGAAAAGGGGACACTATTGCAATACATAAATGATAGCTACTGAAGAAGAAACGGAATGTGTACAATGGACTGTTAGTTCACTACGTTTTTTTGGCACTAATACTGTGAACCCAGGCTCTTTCCTGAGTAACAGAGTTTCCAGATCACCCATTCATGATTGCATCAAGACCACGGACATGGTATACTCCAGCTGACCAGACTTAAAGGAAGCACCCCTAGAAGATGCGGAGGATTGGTCTATAGATGGCAGCAGCTTCGTCTGCCAGGGATTTTGCCTCACAGGACATGCGGTAACAAACATCAGCCCAAAAGGTGGAAATCATCGCCTTGATAAGAGCTTTTGAGCTGGCAAACATTTGGACAAATTTGAAATATGCGTTTTGTGTGGCGCATGCACACGGGGCAATTTGGAAGGAGAGAGGACTTTTATCTTCTTCAATTAAACATGCAGAAGGGGCTGATAGCAGTTATTAGAGGAGAAGGAAAAAGGAGGCCCAAACAGGAACAGCCCCGGCTAGGCAAGGAGCAATGTGCCCTGTGTAAGAAATTTGGGCATTGGAAAAATGAATACCCAGAATGCAAAAGAAATGGAAAAGGGAACCGGAGAAGGGAGGTGGTGGTCATGCGTGCAAAAGATGACAAAAGAGGAGGACTGGGGGAATCTACTCCAGAGATCCGCTGGTTATAAAAATGAAGCTGGGGAAGGAGGGAAAAGAGGTGGAACTTATGGTGGGTGAGGGGGCAACCTATTCAGTTTTAAATAAAGCATTAGTATTAGTGGGGAATGATTACATTGCAGTGAAGGGGGCAACTGGCTAATCTGAAATGGCATATTTCTGCAAACCATTGAAATACAAATATGGGAAGCAGTGGGGCATTCACAAGTTCTCAACTCTACAGAGTCACTCCTAGGGAGAGATTTATTGGAAAGATTACATGCAACCATTTCATTTAAAAATGGGAAGATTATTCTGGAGGTAAATGATCAAAGATATGTGGAAGTGTTGAGTTTGATATTGACAGCTATTGAGACCAAAGAGGAAAGTAGTGAGGAAATCCTAAGTCAAGTGTTTTCTGGAGTATGATCTTCTAATGTAACAGGGAAGGCAAAAAATGCACTTAAATCATAGAATCATAGAATATCCTGAGTTGGAAGGGACCCTTAAGGATCATCAAGTCCAACTCTTGACACCGCACAGGTCTACCCAAAAGTTCAGACCATGTGACTAAGTGCACAGTCCAATCTCTTCTTAAATTCAGACAGGCTCGGTGCAGTGACCACTTCCCTGGGGAGCCTGTTCCAGTGTGCAACCACTCTCTCTGTGAAGAACCCCCTCCTGATGTCAAGCCTAAACTTCCCCTGCCTCAGCTTAACCCCGTTCCCGCGGGTCCTGTCGCTGGTGTTAATGGAGAAAAGGTCTCCTGCCTCTCGACACCCCCTCGCAAGGAAGTTGTAGACTGCGATGAGGTCCCCCCTCAGCCTCCTCTTCTCCAGGCTGAACAGGCCCAGTGCCCTCAGCCGTTCCTCGTACGTCTTCCCCTCCAGGCCTTTCACCATCTTCGTAGCCCTCCTCTGGACACTCTCCAACAGTTTCATGTCCTTTTTATACTGTGGTGCCCAGAACTGCACGCAGTACTCGAGGTGAGGCCGCACCAGCACAGAGTAGAGCGGGACAATCACCTCCCTTGACCTACTAGCGATGCCGTGCTTGATGCACCCCAGGACACGGTTGGCCCTCCTGGCTGCCAGGGCACACTGCTGGCTCATATTCATCTTGCTGTCTACCTCGACCCCCAGATCCCTCTCTTCTAGGCTGCTCTCCAGCGCCTCATCGCCCAGTCTGTACGTGCAGCCAGGGTTTCCCCGTCCCAGGTGCAGGACCCGGCACTTGCTCTTATTGAACTTCATGCGGTTGGCGATCGCCCAGCTCTCCAACCTATCCAGATCCCTCTGCAAGGCCTTTCCACCCTCATTCGAGTCCACAACTCCTCCAAGTTTGGTGTCATCAGCAAACTTGCTCAAAATACCTTCTATTCCTACATCCAGATCATTTATAAAAATATTGAAAAGTACCGGCCCTAAAATGGAGCCTTGAGGGACCCAAGGGTACTGAGAGAACTGGCAGAGGAGCTGGCCAAGCCCCTATCCATCATTTATCAGCAGTCCTGGCTATCGGGGGAGGTCCCAGCTGACTGGCGACTAGCAAATGTGACACCCATCTACAAGAAGGGCCGGAGGGCAGAGCCGGGGAACTACAGGCCGGTCAGTTTGACCTCAGTGCCAGGGAAGCTCATGGAGCAGATCCTCTTGGGAGTCATCATGCGGCACTTGCAGGGCAAGCAGGCGATCAGGCCCAGTCAGCATGGGTTTATGGAAGGCAGGTCCTGCTTGACGAACCTGATCTCCTTCTACGACAAAGTGATGCGCTGGGTGGATGAGGGAAAGGCTGTGGATGTGGTCTACCTTGACTTCAGCAAGGCTTTTGACACCGTCTCCCACAGCATTCTCCTCAAGAAACTGGCTGCTCTTGGCTTGGACTGGTGCACGCTTCGTTGGGTTAGAAACTGGCTGGATAGCCGGGCCCAAAGAGTTGTGGTAAATGGAGCCAAGTCCAGTTGGAGGCCAGTCACTTGTGGCGTCCCCCAGGGCTCGGTGCTGGGGCCGGTCCTCTTTAACATCTTCATCAATGATC